ACAATATGGCGAACGGAAATTGAGTGCCAGTTGTTTGTTGCAATTGTACGAAAACATGTTTATTGAAAATCTATACTTTTACAAGAGAAAACAACAAATACAATCAAAGCAACTATGGTCACCTTGACGCCTCGAAAGTCATTTCCAATGCTCTGACGTAATGTTGTTGAGGAAATTTGAAGTGATGCCGTTTGTTTATGGTTAATATGTAGTTGAAACAAATCTTGCAATAACAATAACTACATATACTTATACATATGTATATACTTATCTGCACATGTATATATACATTTATTCATCTATATTTTTTGTATTTACTCTGCACAGCAGTTTCAAACTATATTACCATTTATGGAACGATTTTTCAAAGAGTTATTTAAGATTTGAGCATTTGGAACTAGTACTATAGTTTTACTGATCAAAAATCTGTCAAAAATAATTAAATCCAAGCTGCTTATATGGAAAAGCACAGCCCGACAGACTTTTTGAATGGCATGTATCCCCAAGATTGGCTAGAATAGTGCAGCTGGTTATGAAGGACGTATAACTTGAAGCACAGTTATATGAAAATCTTTGAAAGTGACTCAACACTTTTATTTTTCGCTGTAGTTATAAAATCTTAATTTAAGTAGCCAGTTCAAAGTAACAGTCATAGCTCCGAAGATTTGGCGTGAGAAAGAACACAAATTGTTAATTACGAAATAGGATTTATTAGACTACTGGGATTCAGTAAAATGTCACCAGCTAACAAACTACTGACTTAGTAAGTTAGATACAGTTATTATTTATCGTAAATTCCTTAATTTTGTATTGTAAGCTTAAAGTTTTCCTAAATCGCAGAATGATAGTTTTTAATAATAAAAGATTGACAAAATATCTGTATCAGGGGAAGTATCAGTGAAAATCGTGAAATATTTTTTATTTTACAAGATATTCACATATTAAATAAAATTGAATTACTTATGTAGGTTTATTTTTTCCTAATTTTTGACGTTTACAAAAACTGTCTCAATTCTATAAAAACGAACAACGTTTACAATAATATTAATGTTTCTTGTTATATTTTTCTCGGTTTTTGTGTTTTTTTGATTTATCCAGAACTGCGTCAACTGAAACTCCTTTGCCTCTGTGAATATTTTAGATGCTAGAGCGTTGAGTCTCTCTTAACCTGTTGTATTCCGCAAGTAGATTTCGATTCATTTCAAACATGAAAAACTTTGTTCAGGTGTTGCTAATAACATGGGCAAAAGCGCGATTTATGGCCTAGAAACCTGTGTCTAGTTCAGTACATACTTCTTTAGTTTGTATAACAGCTATATTTTATAGTGCTTCGATCTGAACAGTTTTCAAAGATTGCGCTGTTGCCTTGAACAATAATCCGTGTCGAATTTCGTGAAGAAATCGCGTCAAATAAAAGAGCTTCAACATTCAGTTTGTATGGGAGCTATATGCTAGAACGGAGAATAAAGGACGTGCGGAAGATTTCAGATCGTTATCTCAAGAACTGACGGACTACTGTGTATATACAGACAGGCGGAAGTGGATAAATTGACTCAGCTCATGGTCTCGAAAGTTGCCTTCGGAGTCTTACAAACTTTGTGGCAAACTTTATAAAAACATAACCCTGTTCAGGGTATAATTAAGGATATCCATATCTGTCATTTAATCTAATCAATATGCTATTCTATATATATTAGGGTGGTTAAAAAACCAATATTTTTTTCACTTTGTACTCTGAAAATAACATAGGTTCTTAAACACCTCTAAGAAAGTATATTCAAGTATGAGCTCTTAATTGTAATGTGAAGGTATCATTATACCCTGAACAGGATATATTAAGTTTGCCACGAGGTTTGTAATATCCAGAAGGAAACATTGGACACCCTATAAAATATATACATAAATAATCAGCATGACGAGCTGAGTTGATTTAGCCATATCCGTCTGTCTGTATATATACAAACTAGTCCCTCAGTTTGTAAGCTATCGATCTAAAATTTTGCAGCTGTCCTTTGCTCACTCACTCACTCACGGCCGATATCGGATCACTGTAGCATATAGCTGTCATACAAACTGAACGATCGGAATCAAGTGCTTGTATGGCAAACTCTTGCATTTGACGAGGTATCTTCGCTAAATTTGGCAAGGGTCATAGTCTAAGGCAATAATGCAATCTCCGAAGGAATTGTTCAGATGAGAACACTATATCATATAGCTACCTTACAAATTGAATGATCCGAATCAAGTTCTGTGAACTGAAGTTAACGTTTTTTCTTGTTTTTGTTATCAGATAGAAATTTTCAAATGTCGCTTCCAACTACTTGAAAATATAACAGTTTTCATAGAATTGAATGCTCTACAAAAATTAATATTGAAGGTCCATTCAAAAGATCTTAGCGGTTAAAATTTGATTAATTTAAGCCAATGTTTTACAATTCAATGAAAAAAAAATCATTAGAAATCGGAAAACTCATAGTTTTGTAAGAAATTGCTGCTCTATAAAAATGGTCACTTACACTATATATTTCGAATTTATAATTTAATAAAATTGTATAGATAATTATTTGATAAAATCATTTAATTTTAACCTACAAGAAATTTCTTAAACCTTTTTAAACGTGTTGTGGTGTTTTTCAACTTGCAAAATTTTTGGTCCTAATTGTATTAAAAATTCTACCAAAAATAATCGCGATATAAATCTTGTTATACTACTTCAGAATGATACCCCCATTTTATTTCCATTTCTCAAACACATTTTTAGTTTGCAATTTGAAATATTACCATTCTAATGTATGTAATTCAATAAGTAATAAATGAAATATTAAGAGATTGCATTACACTAAATAACCTAAGGAGATATATCTCTAGCGTACGTTTTTGGGGTTTGATAACCTTTTTTTGATGAGTAACCTTTACTTTAGTTTTGCCCAACATTGTATAACTGTTTTATCAAGTATCAAGTAACGCTCTCGTCTAGACTAAAGAGCTTCGACAGAAGCTATAATCTAATATAATTGAAAAACTATTCCAAGGAAAAAGAATATAAAGAAAAAGTTCTGGAAAAGAAAACAGCTTTATTTATGGGTTAGTATGCGTTAAACTTTTTTCGAATAAATGATAAATTTAGAGACTGGTGTAATTAAATCTAAACTTTGATTCTAGCAGTATAAGTGCTGGTGGTAGCGTTTGCGTGTGCGGCGAAATAGCAGTAGTTGGGGTTGAAGTAAAAAAACTGATATGTGGTATATGGAGTTACTCTGTGTGGCTTCTAGGATCTTAGACAAAGTTGGATTGCTTTGAAACTCCCACGACAGTCGATTTTATGTAACCGTCATATGTCCATATGTCACACTGCGAATCAAACTATTTCGTTTCTGTAACAAAAATTACCTTTTAATTTAAATTTAAACCGAGACGATTCGGCCGTTAGGTAGCAATTGCAAAAACATAAGCGAGCTCAAAGGAACTCGCTCGGTTCTATGCAGCTGGAGATGCTGGAGAAATAAAGGCATTGCCATTCGTCATTCGGGGGGAGTAGTTTTTAATTTTTTTTTTGTCTTAAATGAATGCTTAAAAGTCAATCTTAGAAAAATTGACGAAGTTATCTCACAACTCACGTTATCAAAGTCGGTGCCCCTTATAACTTCAAAACGATTGTGAAAATTTTTATAATATATATATATATAAATTTTTCAATTTTTTTAAATTAACATACTAAAATTTAAATCGATTTTCGATATAATTTTTGAGTTGCAATCTTCTAAAATGTCATCGTTCTGTTCAATAAGCTTAGCTTTCTTATAAATCAGTTTTTCTCAAAACTATATTTTTCAAATTGAACACTGTCCAAAGAAATTGTGAATGGTTGATAATCAAATTTTTATCTTTTAACTTACATTATAGGTCATAGAATTTTTTTTAACTATATTTACTTTCCGTCAGGGAAAATCAGATTAAAATCATCCTTAAAAATATGTGATATACACCCAACCGAAGAGGCTAAAGTAAATATATTTATTTATTATTATTATTATAGCTTCAGCCTAGGTTAAAATTTAAATTTAAATAATTTTACAATAAATTTATAATTTTTTTAGCTAATATCTATGGTTTTACAATATTCATAAAGACGTGTTTTAAAAAAAATAATAATAATAACTTTTTATTTCACTCGGTAATTTATTAAAATATTTTAAACCTTTATAAAATAGGTTTTGCTTATTTATTTCAATGCTAAATAATGGTAACTTAAAATTACTTTTGTTTCTTATATTAATGTCGTGCTTTTATTTATGTATGTATGTATGTATGAAACATTATTTGTTAAATATTCCTGTGCATTACCACTTACATATGTTAAATATCATTTTCATGGTATGATAACATATTATTTGCTTTACACTTAACAAATTTAATTTTATAAGCATTTCACTAATCAGTGAAACTATCTATTTTTGAGTTCGGTACTATGAACAAAATCGATGGACAATAAATGAAGTGCGGTTCAATCAGTGTTTTGTAAACTATTTTCTTAAACCCTCTAGATACATACTTTACAAGATCTTTTCATAAATCTAATTTGTTTTGCTATCTTTTGTACAGTAAACTCTATATGTTCATCGAATTTAAGTTTGTTATCAGTTAAAATGCCGAGATATTTTATAGATTTTACAGGTTCTATTAATTCATTGTTTACTTTTAGTTCAATAGTATCGCACTCGTTTGTATTTTCTCGGCTAATAATCATGTATTTTGTTTTTGTTACGTTTAATTTTAACCTATTTGCACATAACCACTTATACAAATTATCTAGATCGTTTTGTAATTTTGAACCAGCTGATGAAATATTCGGATCGCTAATACTTAGTAGTGCATCATTTTCAAATAATTTATATTGCAGTATTTTACACCATCAATAAAATCATTTCTATAATATATAAGAAATAATATCGGTGCCAAAACAGAGCCTTGTGCCTTGTATCATATTTTTTCCATTTTAGGCACAAAAAATGTGAAGTCGAGGAAGATCCAATGGAGTCCGTCGAGTGATGTGGAGAGCACTGAACAAGATGAGTGTACTTCTGGGTCTGAGCATGCAGACATACTCTCTTAACTTTACACTGAGAGTGAGCTTTTGAGCGACTCTCAAGAAGACGCAGAGAATACATTAATTAATGCGTCTTCTCTAAATTAATCTCCACCATAGCAAACAAGATTCTCTAGCCCTAGTTAACCGCATGGCAGAAGAACAACCTGACTTCGTCCTCATTCAGCTGCGTAGGTAAGGCTAGGACAGTATATTGGCTAGTAAAAAGCTTAATGTCTTTTTATTACACAGTTACAATTAAATACCGGCTGGCGTCATGTTACATGCCGTATGACGAAGTAGTAGTACTATCGCAGCTGATTAAAGAGGTTAAAAGGTATTAAAGGTTCGAGACAGCGAAGCATCCAAGTGCTCGTTTATAGCACGGACATCAACGAAAGGGGTGAGTTGCTCTTTAATTATTTACTAGGAAATAGGCTTTTGCTATGCAACAAAGGCACTACGATAACATTTATAACCAGAAACCGAGAGGAAGTATTAGACATAACACTTGTGTCGGAAGAAGTGTTAGATAAAATAACACATTAAAGAGTACTGGAGGAACACTCCTTCTCAATCACCGCTACATTGAGTGTACAATTGAAGAGAATGTAGTTAGGGTAGAGATATTCAGGAATCATAGAAAACAAACTGGCAGATGCACCTGCAGGAGCTTAAAAAGCGTATTCCTATGATTCCGCCATTTCAACCGGAGAACAAAGAGGGCTAAGACATCTCCGTTAAAGAGTTCACAGTCGACAAGCACTAGAGGTGGCTTGTCCAATAACACGTAGTAGGGGAAGAATTAGGCCCCCTGGTGGTCTCCCATATTTAAGAACTTGCAGAAAGATTGCAGCAAGCAATTCAATTTAGCCAAATTATCCAAAAGAGAAGAGGAGGGGGATAACTATTAGGGTCATATAAAAAGGAGGTAAGGAAGGCAAAGAGGAATTCGTGGAAATCTTTTTGTAATGACATCGAGAATACGGCAGAAGCGTCTCGACTTAGAAAAATAATAACACAGTCGAAAGATAACATTGGATACCTTCAGAAGCCAGATCATAGCTGGAAGGTATCCAGTGAAGATATTCTAGGCCTGCTAATGGATACTCACTTCTCAGACAGTTCCAAGGACCACACCATGGAGGAAAGTCAAGGTGGTACATGTACCAAAGGCGGGCAAAAGCTCAAACACTAATCCAAAGGATTTTAGACCAATTAGTCTTTCCTCATTTCTCTAAAAAACGCTGGAGAGGCTAATAGAAATACACATAAGATGCATCTAAACCCAGAAAAAAATCGTATGATGTGTTAAGCTCAGTGGTAGCAGAGAAAGTCTCTGGAGATAAAAGAATACACCCTCGTAGCTTTCTTAGACATAGAAGGTGCCTTCCATAATATCCAACCGAAGGCCATACTGAGCGAACTTAAAGTTTTGGGCATCTTTGAACCTCTCTGGAAATTAATTGAACAGATGCTCTTGGGCAAGTCAATTATTTCAATGCTGGGAGCTTCAACGATGTGCAGATCTGTCCAAAGGGGTACACCCCAAGAAGGCGTGTTATCCCCACTTCTCTGGATCCTGACACTGAATAAAATGCTGGTACATGTTGTGGCCTACGCTGACGATGTGGCAGCCTTATACAGACAATATTAAACGATGTTATAGTAATGCGAACTGAATTTAAACGCTAGCAGTACTCCAGAAATACGCCACCATTATTAAGTGGCATCAGACTAACGATAACAATAATGTATACAAAGAGCAGCTAGTATTTGCGTCAGTGGAGCTCTTAGAACAACGCAAATGGAATCCTCCCTACTAGTCGCTAGTAATAAGGGGCATTCTATGACACTTAGAAAGTGTCCGTTTCTTCCCACAACCACGGATTTTCTTCTATACGGATGGTTTCAAACTAGATAACCGAGTGGGTAGTGTCTTCTAAACTAGAAACCAAAATCGCCTTGCGACTGCACTGTCTTCCAAGCGGAGATCACAGCAATTAAAGAAAGCCTTCATGTACTGACAAGGAGTGTGATCTAAGACAGTGAATGCCTTGTTATCATAGTGGATCTGACATCCTATTTCCTGATAAACCTGCAATGGCTCCCAGGATACAGTGATATCCCCGGGAACTGTGTAGCACCAATAGTAGAAAAACACGCTCACTGCGTAACTCACATATTAGCCAATATATGCGTTATAAAGTCGGCCGGAAGTTCCAAAATCAGAGTTAAAATTTAAGTTATATTATTTATTTTGAAACACTTTCAGGAAATGTTGGAATATTTTTAATGTCGTTAATGACTTCAGAAGTCGATTTTCAGAATTGGTCTTGAAAAGCTTCTTTCAAATATGTTACGAAAACTCGCATTCGAAGATATGAAGGCATGGCTTGGGCATTTCAAGTTCTATGAGTATTTGTTTTTTTATTTTTCTGCAAAAATCAGCGCTTTTAATTTGGATATTTTATATACAATTAAATGGTTGATTTGATTTAATTAATTTTAGCTATCGAACAATATATAATATATAAAAATCATAAAACAAAATATCTTTAAAAATAACTTGAATGTGAAGTAAAACTGTTAAATGTATTAAATTTCATCACGATGAACAACAGAAGCCTTTAAATAGGTTAAAAAGGTTTCAGACGTGATACGTTTCACGCATGACACTTCATGAAAGATATTGTGAACGACGTTGTTACGACAATTAGTACTAAAATTACATACAGACTTCTAAAATATAATTCTGATAAGATATGTTTAATTCTACAAAATTTCTTATGTAAATACTTCATATCAGTATTGAAACAGGTCTTATTAGCTTCTGTTCCAAGATATTCCTATTGTATAGTTTCATTCACAGGGTAATTATTATTTTAAAATCAGGGTGAAAAAGTTAGTGTCCAAAAACAGTTAAAGTATAAAAAAGTTAAACAGAATGTTTCAACACGGTTAAAACGTATTAATTTTGAGAGTTATGTGTTTGTGAAAGTGAGAAACACATTGAAGATAACTAGAATGTAAGTTTCAGAGAGTACTCTCATATTAATATAAGATATTTAGTCAAATTAGTAAATATCAAACTTTATCACACACATCTGTTTCATTTACACATTAATATTTAGATTTATAGCTTTTTCTTCCGAATTTGCACTTTTGTGTAGAGATTGTGATTGTAACAACACAAAGAATGATCGGGCATCAACAACTTGGTAGGAGAGATATATGTAGGTCTATACAAAACTATTGGTTAGGAAGCAAACCAGCAAATCTCCAAAATAGGCAACTCGGTATACTCTCGCAAAATGTTGCTAAAGAGTATAATACTTTTGTTCACTTAACGGTTTTTTGTAAACCACGGGTTTTGGGAAGACGGGTAAATGGGCGTAATCGGAACACTGCCACGCCCAAAAAAACGCCATTAATCGAAAACTTATAAGTTGCTATAACTAAGCCCAATTAAGATATAAGACTATAATCTGGTTCAACGCATCGCAACAATGAGGTACAGGTACACCAGGGCACACACAGGCTTTCTTTTCTCCCAAACTGTTAAGCTATATCGCTCACATCTTGTCGGCACTGTGAAAATATGTGAAGTCGGATGATAAGCTCACCCACTCCCCGTATACTGATTTTGTTAAAAACTACTAAAAGTATGATAAATCAATAAATTTGTCAGAGACATTAAATTTTACATCTAGGATTGCCATTTTATAGCAGTCGGTGTCAAAATTAGACGATGGGCGTGGTCCCACTCTCTTTTCCGTGAAATCACATGCAAATCTCGGGACCTGCTAGACCGATTTCAACCAAATGCGATGCCTAACACAGTGTGAAAATAGAGGAAATCGGACTACAATCACGTATACTTCCCATATAACAAAATTTTAAGTTCTACCTGAAAATGAGTGCATTGGCATAAAACTTTGCACGTATAGTCCCTCTAAAGTACGCCACTTTATGACCAAAAATTGTCCAAATCGAAGCCCCTAGGTACCCCTAGGTAGGAATATGTGGACTCTAGTGCCTATAGTTGACTTTTTACCGAAAATATCGGCCAATGTGATATATAATTGAAATTCGGAGAGAATTATTTCCTGATGATAGGATGTCTGAGTGTCAAAAATGGGTTGAATAGGGTCAATATATCCCTTAGCCCCCGTATACCTAATAGTTATATCATATTATCAGCCAATGTGTGAGTTATCTCAATAAATATTGAGAGAGCATGTTTTCCTAGTATCTTTGTGCCTAAAATAGGTAAAATCCGGTGAAAACTTGCCCTAGTCCCCATACAACTAACAATAGAAATTTTAAACATCCAGTTGATTTTACTCCATACGATTGGTGACAAGGTTTCTTAAAAATTGTGAGGGAATATGAATTAAATAGGTCTTGACCTTTGTCCAAACCTCATATCCCTGAAATAATGAATCATTATAAATATTAAATTTACGTTTTTCAGTTGAGTTTGTATCCCATATATCTCATTTGAAGACTATTTTTATACAATTTTAGCTGACGGGATGTAAAATATAGTAGTAAAACTAAGTGAGTCTATGATCTATAATATAACTTAATATAATATAATAACAAATTTGATTGTAATCCATTTACAATTTCATCGAATAATGAATGTTAAATTGTTTCGCAACACTTTTTACTAAAAAGTTTTCCTAACACCTGAAAGTATTTTACTTACTTTGATCAGTGAAAGTTCTAAGAGTAAGTCTAATAATAAATGTCCTTTCTAACACCATAAGCCATACATACTTGTATGTATGTATGTGCATACAGTTTCATGATGATAAACAAACTTGTATTCACATTTACAATATAAGTATGGATTAATTAAAAAATTACATAATTATTTTATTTATTTCATTTGCATATAATATACAAACATCATAAGTTCATATTTTCGCAGTCTAATACAAATTATAAACAACAACGGGAGGGTTGTTAATTCGTAAATAGTAGCACCCAGCGTTTGTTGTTGTACCTTGTACGTTGCAATGTGTTGTTTGCGAGTATTCTGTTGATTTGCACACAGAATATCAGATATGTATTTATGGGAAGATAAGCCAATTCGCGATGCTAAGCTAAATTTTAAAATTAGTTTCTATTTTACCATTATTGATAACACAGCTCTACAAAAATAACATTTTTTGTTGCCCTGGATATCTTAGCAAATTTCGGTGCTTTCAAGTGTCAAGATTACGAACTTATTCATGAAAGTATTGAATGTGCTCTTGCTTTTAAGATACTACAATATCTAATATTTTGATAGTTTTTGGCTTGTTAGTAATAAAAATTTAGTTTTACAGTCATGATAAGCAGCATATAAACATTACGTTAACTCCACTCTCAAGCTCCTTACCGAAAATATGC